TAAATATACTTCAGGCTAACGAAAAGTCAAGTTAAACTATGGAGGACACTAAGTAATATAATTTAATGTCTAAGAAACATGTGAGTACATGTTATTTTTTTTTGTTTTATGATGTAATTATTATTTATTGTATTTTAGTCTGAGAAATTAATTTATGTATTTATTATATATTTTAAATAATAGGAATTGAATTTAACCGTTTTCTTTGAATTTTACAAAAACAATTATGATTGTATATATTGTCTTTGGAAATGAGTAAATCTTTTTGAAAATTGATATTTGAAAAAATCTGGGGTGCAGATTTATATTTTGGTAAGATTCGATAGCAGAACTCGCAAGAATTTTCCGTCTAAGTTTGTTACTTTCTCTTTTAATAATTCTGACATCCTTTGGATCGAAGTTGTGGTGGGACATATTTCTAATGCATTTGGTAAATTGTTATGTATAAATTCCTTTTTGTTTTCATGTGTGTGTGTGTGTGTGTGTGTGTGTGTTTCGCGGGCATATGTGTGTATAATAGCAGAAGAATATGTAACAAATTGTCTGGCTTGATCTTCAAAGCTTTATTTATCTTCTGCAACATTCGAACGTGAAAAAAAAAACGTAAAAATAGGGAAGTGCATGAAATAATTTGTTTTAATCATTTCACGACAAGCAAGACAATAAGGCCAATAAGACTCAAGGGTGTTACTGAGTGATATAAAATATGAGAAAAATAACATTATTAAGGAGAGAGAACAATAAAAGAACATAGCTAGAAGATAACGATTGACATTACATTTCAAGTTTTGAAGATCAAAGTTGACTTGGAAGCAAGAAGCCGGAAGAGAGCACTACAAGCAAGAAGTGCGATAGAAGAAACTGTTAGCATAGAACTTACGGTTATATATAGCCATTTAAACTGTACAATAATGTAATAATAATAAGGGAAGGGTGACGAAAAAATGTTTAAAAAAAAACAAAAACAAATGGAGGAGTGTCCTGCCTTGAGTCAGAGATAGTTACAAATTAGCCAGTAGGACATTCCATCCCAAATTATAAATAAGAAGAAACAAACAATAAAAAATGAAAAACCTGCCGATTTTCAAAGCAGGTAAGTTTCTCTAGCAAATCAGGGAATTACAATCTTCCTATTTTCACTATTTCAGACTCCACGGCAATCAAGCAATCGCTAAGCATAGCAAATATCAAATATAAATCGAGGAAGCAGATATTCACTAGACTTAACCTAGTCTGGCACACTGACATTATCATGGGCCAAGATCAACTGATAATCAAACAATGATAACCATAGATCTACAGTAGACAGATAGTTTAAGTTGAACAAAGTGAATAAATCCAATACTCATTTCCTGTGTCTTATATAATATGGACGCGAATTTACGGTTTGTATCTGCAATAAGAATTCATTAATATAAAGTAATGGCATTATAATAGGCAAGATGGCGCTATTGCACGTAAAATGGAATCAATTTATAGAGTTCAATTTTCTACCTGAAGTCACACGGTTTTGCTAGCGATTCTACGGCCGCTAGCAAGATTTTATTATACGTTTTCTTTTCATATTTCTTTAAAAAATGCTATAACAATATATTTTTTCATTTAGTTTTAGTTTATATTTTCTGGTGTTATTTTATACTATTTTATGTCCTTATATATATATATATATATATATATATATATATATATATATATATATATATATATATATATATGTGTGTGGGGGGTGGTGTCGTGTATGCCTGTTTTTTGTTTTTTTTTTTTTGTCGACTGCACAGTCTAATAGGGTCAGTTGGGTACCGTCTGCGAGAAAAAGAGCACAATGACGCAATTTAACCCGCCAGAAATTTGGAAATGGCAGCCGGAGGAGGTAGTGTCGCCTTGGTCAATAGGGTGGCTACTGGAAGACCCTATGTCTGGCAATAGGACTCTGCATCATGCTAGACAAGCAGGAGAACCAAGTTTTGGCTGCGACCACATCACACCTTATATCTGGCTATCTAACCTAGCAGTTGAGCGAGAAGCGAACAAAACTCCCTGTAAGACCAAAGATGAAGGTAATGACTATGGTAGCATTCACCAACTTAAACAAGGAGACCGTCCAGAAGAGTTGCAGGAAATTCTGAAGTCATCTGGAGGCCATGGTTGAAGCCAATGGCAATTTTATTCATTATATTTACTCTTTAGTATTTCAAGATAAGTTTATGTCATTTCCGTAAATATATCTTTTAAAATGAGATGTCAGTCTTATCTTCATTTTTGCATAATTTAGACGACAATTTATCCATTGCATCCTATATATTTAAGGCAAATACAATTTAAAACAACAGACATTTTGTTCCGATTAATTTTAATGAATGACTTTTCCAAATTATGAATAATCCTTCTATGACAAGGAGAAAATTACGATATCATCTGAAATGTTATATAAGATTTCAGATGAGGTTTATTGATTAATTTCACCGTTTGTAAATATTAGCGTCATTAAATGTTTATCTTTAGCTGACATTAGGAGCGTGTAGTTTTAACTACATTAAAAGGTCGCTTTTGATGTAAGCGATAGTTGTCAAAACATTTAGAAAATATCAATATTAGCATAATTTTATTTATGAATTCTAACATTGAAGAAAAAGTAACATTTTCGGTATATTATGGATTTTGTTTTTTATTTTAAGAAAAGTAAAATGCGACTCAAATTTTAAAAAAATTAAAATTTTTGTCAGTGTTAAATCATCAAACCACATAATAATTTTCAATGTGTATTTATTTATATATTTCAGGCGTACTTATTCATACATTTTCTGTCCCATCTGTAGTCGGAAATGAGTTAAATTTATGAATAATTATTTCTCTTAGTCGTTTTAATAATATATGCAAATGAAATTTTTATCAGAGTTTAAACAAAATTAGTTCCCGAGTAAAATGAACGATTTAATAAATCAGTTCCTTTATCCCACGTCTATTCGATTGCAGTCTTATTTGTTCAAGCCTTTGATGTGAGGTACTCAGATACCTTTGTCTATTAAGTGATCGTCTTGCTTCAACATCAAATAGGCTTTGTCGTCACCGTCTTCGTATTTCTGTTGCTAATCTTTCCTTCGATGCTTAACTTCTGTGATTGTACGAGAACCGGTGTTTCAACGTGATATAACCGTAAATCAGGTGAATCTCGAAATCGATACAATGTCATAGTCTGCGAGATTACAATACGTGAAATTTTTCTATGAATGTGAAGGTTTTCAAAATCAATGTTGATAACATTTTCAAGATATATTTCTATGAAGAATATATCACGCCAGTATCACCGTATAATATTATTTCTTATTAAAAATATTGATGTGTGTGATCATTTTTTATTAGGCGAACAAATATATTGCAACAGAATTGTTATATACCGAAATCATATGATTCTGCTAACCCTAACCCACGTGGCTACGCCCTGCCATTAAACCAGATAAGTAATGAACCATTCCATTGTGATTGCGAGGAAAGATGGAAGAAAAAGGTATATCAGAGTTACTGTTTGGATTCAGGGAGAAAAATAAGATATAAATAATAATAGAAAGAAAGAAAGAAAGAAAGAGGAAGAAATAAGGCTCTCATATGTTTAACATCTGCTTCATTGAAATGGAATAACCTTGTCAAATTTTCAAACCGTAAGTGAATCTTTTTATTTGTACCCGCTTATTTCACTAGAGAAAGACCTTTATTCATAATTATTATTATTGCAATATTTTGTTAATGGTTTAAGATCAAATATTTAATGATGCAATAAAGGAATTTCCACGAGTATTTTTTGTGACGTACGATGGCCGGTAATGATTAAGTATAACTCAAGACTTCAATGTTAAAATTTACAATATTTAATTACAACCGCCAATAAATACTTAACAAGAACAAAGAAGTAAAAATCAACCACAGATAATTAACCATTTCAATGAATATCTTGTTTGTAGTGCGGCTCGGTTTAACGTCCGGTAAATCCTAAATCAAAACCCAAATCATCGACGCACAATAATTCACACTAATTCGACTGGATAGTTCCACTCAATAATCACTCCAGTTAGTAGCCTGACACTGATATTTATACAAGTTGCGGAAAACATATTCATAAATCCAGAGAGTTACGCTCGAACCTCGGTGTCGGTAGTTACTCAGTTTCTTCCTATATGACAATTTATACTTGTAGAACTCACAAGGAGCTTATTCAATCATTAACTTTAAAATTATTATTCAAACAGGAAAACCGTAAAACTTTTTACGAGTACAGATAATAAATTATTGTTATTACACAAGTTAATATGGGTTCCTTGACACACTATAATCTTCATAATGCTTTCTGTCATTGATTTAATAACTTTTCTACTGCTTTGACTTTAATACGACTTTTTTACAGTGAGGTTCGCCCTGTACAAGACACGGGGGCCACTTGAGGTAGAAGGTTACATTAAGAGGCAGTTTATACGGATAGAGGAGGAAGATAACAGTTAACCCTAGCCTTGAACAGGTTAAGATTGTAGTGATCGGGGAAACATCCTTTTGGGAGTCGGTTCCATAGAGCTGTGGTGCGCGGGACGAAGCTTTTCGAGTGGAACTTACATCCCACCGATGGAATACGGAGGGAATGTGGGTGGTTTGCTACAATGGTAGTGGCACTGCGGGTCCTAGCCACGAGGGGTAGGACTGGCGGAACCACTGAATCTAGTCCTTCCGAGCATTTTTTAATGGAAGTAGCAATAGAGCCGTGAGAGGGCTTGCAGCATGTTTTTTTAATTTTATTCCGAGATATCATTTGTTTAACAGTAGTTTTCATTCTCATATATATCACTTGTAATAATATATCGCAAGATCTCTATTAATGTATGGATAAATACAATTAATTTTGTATCTTTGAAACCTTCTTTTAGCAAAATGAAGAATAATCAACGTTGTCAAAGCAAATAGTGCTTTGCGTGTTGGCTTTGGTTTCTCAAGAGATTTGACTGATGAGTACAGTACGATCAAAGTGAAAGAGAAGGAATGAGTGAATGAATAAATGAAAGAGAGAATATCAAAAAGAGAAAATAGAAGAAAGGGGAATAAAATAAGTCGTAGAAGGCAAGAAGAGCGAACGAGAATAATGAAAAAAAGAAGGAAATGAATAATGAGTGAAAATCAAAAAAAAAATAATGGCAGCGAGTAGGAAAGTGAGAACAGTGAGTCACCATCGAAATGTAAAATGTTGCGCAGGGAAGATGAGGAAAGAGAAAACCCAGTTCTTGCTGAAGAGATAGAAATACGCTCAAAGACGAGGAAAGAAGAAGAAGAAGAAGAAGAAGAAGAAGAAGAAGAAAGTAAAGTGAAAAAGAGAAAAAGATCGAAGAACCAGGAAGACATCAGACGTAGCAAAAGTAGAGAAAAAATCAAGAAGAAAAGCAGATTGGACAAAAACGAGAAAAAACGAGAAAGTAAAAAAAAAAAACGAGATGAAAAAAATAGATTCAAACTTAGCAAAGGAAGCTGGGGAGAAAAAAGAAAAAAATGTCGGAGGGAAGGAGAATTAAAACGACAACAGACGATTAAGAAAGAATAAGTAAAGAAAGAATAGAAATTGAAAAAAAAATCCAAATAAGGGGGAGAAGTACAAAAATAAAGATGTAAGAAAAAAAAAAGACGGAAAATGAAGGGATTAAAAAATAATTAAAGTTTAAAAAATGAGAAAAACAAGAAGAAAAAATAATTGAAAAAAAAAGAGGGCCCTTATGATACAACGAATTAAAATAGGAATAATCTGAATGTCAAAAGGATGAACTAAATAGTGGATGAAGTGAAAAAGAATAAAGGGTGGAATAACAGGAGAACAACGAGGAAGGATGATGTAGAAAAGTAATTCGAGAAGAAAGAACAAAAGAAGGATCAATATAACCGGAAGATGGAGGAAGAAGAGAGAATAAACAAGATGGAGGGTTGAAAAAGCAGAAGGAGAAAGGAAGCAGTAAAAGGAAAACAAATAATTTGATAAAAGAGAAGAGAGAAAGAAAAGAATTGAAGAAAGAATGAAGCGAAAGGAGAAAGAAAGAAAGAAAGAAAGAGAGAAAGTGAAGAGGAGAAAGAGAGCAGTAAAAGAAAAACAACGAATTTGAGAAGAAAAAAGAAATAATGAAAGAAGAGATTAGAAAAAAGAAAGTTCGGGGGTGAATAAGAAAAAGAGGAAGAGAAAGGAAGCAGGAAATTTTTTTTTGAAAGACGACGAAAATTAGGAAAGAACAGAGAATGAAAAAAAATGAAGGAAGAATTAAACAAAAGGGGAAAGAAAAAGAATGTGGATAAGAAAGAAGAGAAAGAAAGAAGTAAAAAAAAAAAAAGATTCGAAAAAAGGAAATTACGAAAGAAGAGAAAAGAAAAGAAACGAAGAAAGTGTGAACCCAAAGAAGAAGTGAAGAGAAATGGTAAAGATGAAAAAGAAGAGAAGAAAGCAGTAAAAAGAACAAAAAAAAAAACAAAAAAAAACTAGAATTTGAAAAAAAGAAAGAAATTAAGAACAAAGAAAGAAGGAAAAGAACCGAAGGAAGAATGATGAGGGAGAAAGAAAGTTAGTTAAGAAAAGGCTAAAGAGAAAGAAAGCAGTAAGAAAACTGAACAAACAAACAAAAGAATTTCAAAAAAGGAGAGAGAAGGAAAGCATGAAGATGAAAAAGAAAAGTTGAAAAGAAAAAAGTTAAGAATTCAAGCATCAAAAAGAAAAAGAAAAGAAAAAAAATTCTTTTTGTCGTCATCTGGTCGAACCACTTATAAAGAAACATGAAACTGTAAAGTGAAATTGTCGACGCATTGTTCTGGTTACTGTCAGATTCTCGACCTTTTTAACTGGCACAAACTAAACTCAAACAATTTCTTTTTATCAATCAGTTAAACGCCATGACCAGGTTTGCGAATTTTAAAAATTTCGCTGCTTCGCTGTAGGGGAGGATGCCGAAAGTTTCTCAGTTTGTCCATGAAGAAATATTTATTTTTTGGTAATTCTGATAGTTGATCAGATTTTGGGTATGTTTCGAGATGAGAGATTTTCAGCACCCCCATGTAAGTAGACAAATCTGTTAGCACGTTTATTTAAACTAAAGCATCTGTCCATTAATGCTTAATGATCGGCAAGTTTTACACTCAGTTCCTGTGACTGATGCTCTGGTCAGGATTTCGAATGTTGAGATTGAGGCAACACTATCTTTCTATCTTTTAGTAATCATTACTTCCGTGTGGTTAAAAAAAAAAAACATGATACTAGTTCTGTCTCTCTTACACATACACATAGTTATAATTATTTATTTGGGAAGCAATCCCACTTTTATATAAGTTTAATTAAAGACAACTGACAATGTACTGCGATTAAGGTTTTTATCCAATTTTTCCTGGATATAAAGTGTGTAAAAAAATTATCCGAATGTTTATTATATCCGAGCGTTTTCGGCCATTATCAAGGATTTTTTTTTTAATGACTGGGTAGATCTTTCTTTATGGAGTCTTTTGATAGGCATGAAGTGAAATGTCCAATACAATTATTGATGAATTTGTTTGGGCCAGGACAATGTATATAGTTGATGCTATAGTGTTGCAAGAACTTTTTACATGTGAAAGTATATAGTATTTTTCGAATTGTTGGGATGGAGTTTGGTCTGTTTCCATGTGTGTTTAAATGATATTCAGGGCCTCTCTCTTTGATATTTATGATGGCATCCGTTATTCTCGTTCTTATTTTAATCTTAAATTTAATAAACAAACACACACACACACACACACACACACATATATATATATGTATATATATAACCATTGTTTGTCTGAAAGTTTCTTGTAAGCATCGGACAATTAGATTACCCACTTATATATATGTGTGTGTGTTCATTTACTCAAATAGTTAAACAGAAAATATATTAAATATTTGATTTAATCCATTTCATATAATATATATATATATATATATATATATACATTTTATATATTATATATATATATATGTTCTTCCAGCTATAAAGAAGAGCAGGTACTATTTTGGAGAGGAGTTTTTTTTCTGACAGTCAGGCAACATTCTTGCTGTTATCTTTGTATTTAGATTTCAACGTCCTGCGTATGTATGCATATAAATCTTCTAGACTCATTTTTTCGGGAGTAGATCCACAAGCGCCACAGCTGCTTCAAAGATATTCCGTTTTAAATTTAGATTTCAACGTCCTGCGTATGTATGCATATAAATCTTCTAGACTCATTTTTGGAGTAGAGCGCCACTGCTTCACCCCACGAGGCGTGGCTACTGTTGTTGATAGGTTTTACGCCCCACGTCCAAACAATTTTTAATTCAGATAGAAGGAAAGATGGATTCATAAATTCCCAATGGTATTTGTACAAAAGTGAAAGCAATGGCTCCGGCTGGGATTTGAAATCGGCACGCCAACTTCACTTTCGACGTCGATAACTACTACGCTACGTGCACCTGCACTAGGTGTTTAATTTAGCTGACCTCATTCAACTTTTTTGTTTTTATTTGTAGTTTTATCGCTATTGTGATGCATACAAGATTGTTTCAAACTCAAAATGGTTTTATCAGCGCAGTTAAAGAAAAGAGTATCATATCTAATCTCGTAGATGACAGTGATTGCTGGAGAATTTCTTCACAGATAAAGAAGAAATTTGAATCAACACAGATATGGTTTACCGAAAGATGTCGAGAATACCACAGACTGTAACATTTGGACAACGAGGAAGTTTCACAGAAAACAGAACCGAAAAGAACACGTAATTACAACCAGAGAAAAATCGTTGACATTTAATGAGGAAAGACGGTGAAGAGAATTCAACAATCATAAGACATATTGAAGATAAATGAGATAGCGGAAAACAGCGAATAACCATGATTTCGAGTTTGCATTGAATGCATAACAGGAGAATGTCATAGAGGCATGTCTAAAGTTAGAATAACGAAAGTTCTACAGAATAGTGATCGCTCACGGCCTGAAGGGCACGGCGCATAAAATAATATATCTCACACACCGATACTATATATAATTGATAATAAATAATATAGTTGATAGTAAATCTATGCCGTAAAATATGATGGCATATTTTGTGAAAATATTATAAGATTGTTTCTGTCTGAATGCCCGACAGCCTAGTGGATAAAAGCGTTGGCCTGTGAATTTGGTGACATAATGGTTGTACAGATTTTTGGTCTAATGGATATGAGGTCGGAATGAGAAATTTGAGAGTAGATTTCGAATTCCAGTCGCAGAAATACGCTTAGGAAAATTATGAATCCGTCTCTTCTTCCTCCGGCTATGTAGAGTAGGGTAGGGTAGACTGGGCCCTGTAGCCTTGGTTGGCAACCAGTCTAACGCAGAAAGAAATAGAAAAATCTTCTGCCTAGGCAGTCATGAATCAAAAAGACATGATCACCCAAGATTTCCTGAGTGGTTGTGAGTTCAATCTATGGGTCGGGTAGTGTGTACATGCACTCAGTGGAAACTGGCAAGCAATAACTGAACAGTACTAAATAAAAATACGAACTATACGACATCCCTAGACAGTAGAACGAGAAGAGTAGACTAAATAAAGGGTTCATTTCAGAATTCCCTGCAGGTTACCCAGATCGATATATACTTGAGGAAGGCCAGAGAGCACATCGGTCGCAACGTTGTGAAAACAACAACAAAGATGAGGACAATTGTTCGAATATAAATAGTGTAACTATTAGAAGGTGTTCACGTGTGAATTAATATGCATGGTATTCAAGTATTATGCGATTATTTAGGTACTTTTTTTTTACCAAAAACTCGTGCTGTCTGGAATAATCATGTCGGTAGGATTTTTTTTTATATATATATAAAATAAGAGTACCTGTTCAAATAAACGTTCCACTGAAAATTAAAAGATATATATCTATATATTTAAATGAAGTGCTAGATTGGTAGTAATGTCAAAGACTCATTATTTTACTGTTGAAATGAATTGATCCAATCGTAAATTCTATACTAACAGTTTCTTCTCTCGCACTTCCCGCTTGTGGAACTCTCTTCTGGCTTCTTGCTGTCCAGTCAAACTTGATTTAAAAAAAATTAAATATAATGTCAATCGTTAACATCCACTTTCTTAATTCCTATTCTTTTATTGTTCTCTCTCCTTAATAATGCTTTTTTATATATTCTTTCACATTCAGCAACCTCGTTGGCCTTAATGACTTTATTGCCTTGTTTGGTGTGAAATGATCAATATATATATATATATATATATATATATATATATATATATATATATATTACATGAATCATTCATACAAAAAAACAAATATAGAGGTTAATGATTTAAATGGGGGGAATACATCTTCGCAAACAATTTCAATAGGTTGCACTAACCCCGAACCTGTATATGAATGATATGATCCCTGTTTATAAATTCCAGTTTCATAAGGTCTTTTTTAATTTTTACAAGCTTTCGTCTGTTCCTACAGACATCCTCAGTTATGGAAATAGATTTTGTTCTTGTTTTTTACTTCTCGCGAATAAGAGGACAACGAAAATATAGATGTAATCCGAAAAAAATGCTATGAGAAATGTGTTATTGTTTTGGAACTTGCGGTCCCAACGCTGAGTTTGAATTTTAAATTTTAAGGTTGTGCGTTTTTGTACAAATATAGTAATAAGAGTATTCTTTTTTACTGGTAGGTTTTCCGTGAATATGGTATGAACTATATTTACAGGAATGTTACACTTATTATCCGAAAGTTGCACGTTGTTATATATATATATATATATATATATATATATATATATATATATATATATATATATATAAAATTTCACTCTAAGCCACTAAAACGCAAGTGATTACTGAGTGTGAGCGGATATGAGAGAAAAAAAAAAAAGAAAACGAGAAAAAGAAAACATTATTAGCGTATTTGTCTATATCTCTGAGTTGAGGTATTATGATTATTTACATTATTCGGACTGTTATCCTCATTTTCATTGCCATTTTTCACAACGTTTCGGCTGTTGTATACTCCAGCTTTCTTCAGGTGATTGGAATTTCGAACCGAACCCTTTATTTCGTCCACCGGGGTAGATTGTTCTAGTTCCACGTGCCATGCATCATTCGGATGTCTCAGTTATTTCCCTTTAAAACATATCTCCAAGATTTTTGGTTCACCACTGCTGAACATATGACCTAGTGGATAAAGACATTGGTTAGATCAAGTGACTAGATCCAAAGGGTTGTGAGTTCAATACCAGGCAACGGCAGAAACGTTATGAATATGGGAATGAAGATGAGGATAACAGTCCGAATAATGTGAAAAAATATAAATAATTATTAGTGTGGTAAGTAGTATTGTTACCTCCAGGTCGGGAATTCGAATTGTGTAGTGTTCTATTTTTATTTTATACCCCCTGTCTGCGTTACATAAGGTCAATGATTAAAAATGATTTTGAGGGAAGGAAGCATGTAGGTTTGAGCGAAAACCACTCTTTTTTGAATTTTGTAGACTGGCGCTACGGAATACCATTAAAAAAGGTACCAAATAACAGAATCGGCAATCACTTGAGGACTGACTTCCAGCAGCAGTAACAACTTAAATGGATAGCACATGTAATTCGAAAAGGAAAAAAATTACATAATCAAGATGTTGACGTCCCACACGATTTCAAAACGGCTACGAAGCACCCCCCCATCAATACTGGAAAGAGCTATAACAGTTACTGGACTTGAGAAATCTAGTGTAATGAAAAACTGTTTTAAGAGAAAGATTTTTATCAATTTCAAC